ATGGTGAAAAACTGACTTTGAAAAATAAATCTGTTTTTTTTCTTATAAAAGGCTAAATTAAATAAAAATATTGGTGTTTTTTTGACTGTGTAACTTTATAAACGGCACCCCATAAAAACAGGACATCTGGTTTCTCACATGAAATCCCAGTAAAACCCTTTGAAGTTTGTGGTTTTATGTGACAAATGCAAAAACGTTCAGGGGTTTGAATAGTTTTTCAAGACTCTGTTCACCTATTTGAGTTAGATCTTTGTTATTCTCATTTTGTCTCCGACTCCAAACAGGTCCAAAGGCCAACACGTCTGAGCGTAAAGCAGCCATGTCTGCAGGGGAGCAGTTCATCAAAGATAAAGGATACAGCAGTAAGACGCAGGTAARTCTGACTTATTTGTGTTTATCAAAAAGTCATCCAGAATTCAACATCACAAAGCCCAAACTAAACGAAGAGCTTCACTTTCAGATCCAAGTTCTTCCTGCAGGATCTGAGACCACTTTGTTCAAGCAGTTCTTCTGTGACTGGAAGGACAAGGATCAGACAACTGGACCCAGTAAAGCCTTCASCATCGGCCGCATAGCTAAAGTGGAACAAATCCCCTTCGATGCCTCCACTCTTCACTCAAACAGCAGCATGGCAGCTCAGCACGGCATGGTGGACAACGGCAAGGGCAAGATCCAGGTAGGACCGTGGTAAAAAGGTGAAACTCTGTCATGGAGACTTCGGCTGACGTCTGGTCTGATGCCTAGATCTGGCGGGTTGAGAACGGTGAAAAGGTGCCTGTRGATCCTGCAAACTATGGTCACTTTTACGGTGGAGACTGTTACCTCATCCTGTACAGCTACGGGCAGGGAGGCCGGGAGCAACACATCATTTACACCTGGTGGGTACAACACCAGAACATCCAGGTGCTGATCTGAAGGAGTGTCACTCAGTGTGTGTTTCCTCCTTCAGGCAGGGACTGAAGTGCACCCAGGATGAACTGGCAGCTTCAGCCTTCCTCACAGTGAAGCTGGATGACTCAATGGGAGGAGCTCCAGTTCAGGTGTGAACACTACTCACCAGACATTTAGACATGACATTAAAATGATATCAATTCAAGCCCGTTTGACTTAAAACTCAAGTGAAGTTAAAAAGTATCTTTACTGAGAATCGCAGTACTGTTTCTGCTGATATAAATAAATACAGCAAGTGTTTAACCACAAGATTCTGCTCCACAGATACAGAAAAAACACTTCCTGAAATGATCCAAATAAAATAATAAAACTACAGTATCATTAAAAAATAAGTAGTTAACCAGCAGAGGGCAGTRTTTGTTCAAACAGTGGCTGCTGTAGATCCTCTGAGCAGCCTCTTAAAAACTAATTATTAGGGATGGATTTGTTTAACTTCACCAATTTACTGCAAAACAAATCTACAACCCYAGTTCTGAAAAAGATGATGGCATCAACACATGTAAGAAACCATGGAACCAAAGTGTTTCCCTCTGAGGAGCAACTCCTCTTCTTCTAACAACAGTCCATAAAACATCCAGNGAACCAAGGAGACCAGTTCTGGAGGTTTTAGAGGAACCAAGGAGACCAGTTCTAGAGGTTTTAGAGGGAACTAAGGAGACCAGTTCTAGAGGTTTTAGAGGGAACTAAGGAGACCAGTTCTAGAGGTTTTAGAGGGAACGAAGGAAACCAGTTCTGGAGGTTTTAGAGGAACCATGAAGACCAGTTCTAGAGGTTTTAGAGAAACTGAGAAGACCAGTTCTGGAGGTTTTAGAGGAACGAAGAAAACCAGCTTTAGAGGAACTAAGGAGGCCAGTTCTAGAGGTTTTACAGGAAACATGGAGACCAGTTCTGCAGGTTTTAGAGGAACTAAGGAGACCAGTTCTGGAGGTTTTAGAGGAACTAAGGAGACCAGTTCTGGAGGTTTTAGAGGAACCAAGGAGACCAGTTCTGGAGGTTTTAGAGGAACTAAGGAGACCAGTTCTAGAGGTTTTAGAGGGAACGAAGGAAACCAGTTCTAGAGGTTTTAGAGGAACCAAGGAGATCAGTTCTGGAGGTTTTAGAGGAACCATGAAGACCAGTTCTGGAGCATGTGTAAGATCTTCAGAGGTTGCACATAAAATAATTATGTTTTATCTAATTGGCTGTAACTTCATTGTTCCTCAACATGAGATGATCTTAGATTAAAACTCTAACTGATAAAAAGTGACGGGGGATGTACAATAATCAATGGGCAAACCAGACTTGGTTTTAATGGAGACCATTGCAGAGT